ATTGCCCTGGCTAGGACTTCCAGTACAATGTTGAATAGAAGTGGTGATAGTGGGCATCCTTGTCTGGTTCCTGTTCTCAAGAGGAATGGTTTCAATCTCTCTCCATTGAGAATAATCCTAACCCTGATCACTTCTGAGTTATAAAAAGAGAAGACCGACAGAGACACACACAGAAGGTGACGTCAGATATCAAGAAATGCCAGGGCACACCGAGGAACTTCTGGGGCTCCTAAAAAGGAAGGACTGCCCCCTCGAGCCACGCTCTGAATTCGGACTTCTAGCCTCCTGAACCGTGAGAAAGTAACTTCCTGCTCTTTAAAGCACACACTGGCATCTGTATGGCAGCAGCACTGTGTAACCTAGACAGTAACTGTGGTGCAAACGGAGGGACGGCTGGCCTTTGCTTTGCTGAGCAGTGCATGGGAGGAACTCAATGTTCTGGAAAAGCATGTCACCCTGTTGGCATCACTCACAGTGCTTGGGATACCAGCGCAACATGCCAGCATCAGTCTGCATCAGTCACTGTCAGGCTCGGTGTTGTCCTGAATGGGGCCACATGCAATTACGTTATCAGGGTTTCTTGTGTGATCAGTAGTCCATGGGTGGTGCATGTGTTCAGTGCTCAACTACTGACCAAAAGGATGGGGGTTCAAATCCACTCAGAGGTGCCACTAAAGAAAAGTCTGGAGATCGACTTCTGAAAGGTCACAACCATGAAAACCTGAGGAGGTCCGTTCTGCTTGGCCACACACATGGAGTGCCTGTGAGCTGGGGTCAACTTGAAGGCAACTGGTTTTGTTTTTTTTTTTCCCTAGTGTGCTCATGTTGCAGCATTCACAAACTGAGAAAGCATTCTTACACTTTTTTGTATCTCCTTTATATTATAAATAAGGAGGTCTGGTGGCACAATGCCTAAGGCATTTGATGGCTGACCAGAAGGTTGGTGGTTCAAACCCACCTGACACTCCAAGGAAGGAAGACTGGGCAATCTACTTCCATGAAGATTTACCACCTAGGAAACCCAAAGGGGTTTGCTATGAGTTGGAATCAACTTGATGGCAGTGGGTTTGGTTATGGTTTTGGTTTTATATTATAATTACATCAGCAGTTCGAACCCACCAGCTGCTCTATGGGAGAAAGATAAGGCAATCCGCTTCCAAAAACATTTACAGCCTTCAAAACCCTATGGGGCAGCTCTACTATTTCCTAAAGAGCAGCTATGATTTGGAATTGACTCGATGGGTGTGGATTTTTTTTTTCCAAATATTGTAATTAGACTATTATGTTGAGTTTTTAAGGCATTTGACTGCTAGTCAGAAGGCTGGCGGTTCAAATCCACCAGTCGTTCCTCAGAAGGAAGACTGGGCAATCTATTTCCATAGAGATCCCACCTCTGAAACCCGAGGAGGGGTCACTACTTGAGTCACAATTGACTCGACAGCAGTGACTTTGTTTTTGTGTGTGTGTGTGTGTGTGGTGCATGGTTAGGCACTTGGCTACTAACTAGAAGACTGGCAGTTTGAACTCACCAGCTGCTCTGCTGGAGAAAGGTGAGGCAGTCTGCTTCTGTAAAGATGACAGCCTTGGAAATCCTATGGGGCAGTTCTACTATGTCTCATAGAGTTGCTGTAAGTCGGTATTGACTTGACAACAATGGGTATGTTGAGTTTTTGGAAAATGTGTAGAAGCAAATTGTTTCTCTATAAATTTCATTTTTCAGGGGTATGGCAGGCAGCCTTTCAGATGCTCCCAGGGATCTGCCCCCCTCTGATCGTCGGGCTCCCCTAGAATGGGCATAATCTCCTTCCCTAGAGGGTGGTCTAGCCTTAGTGACTTGCTTCTGACAAATAGAATATGGCAAAGTGAGGGGACCCACTTTGAGGCTAGGTTACAGAAGGCTGTGGCTCCCATCTTGAGCACCTTTTCACCCTCTTCTCCAAGAAGGCAGCTGCTGTGTCGGAACTGCCCTATGGAAAGGCCCACGGGGCAAGGAACTGAGCTCTCTGGCCTCTACCGCATGGCCCCGAGGCCTGGCAGCAGGCTTGGAAGGGATCTGGAAAGTGGATCCTCCTCAAGTCAAGTCTTGAGATAACTGTGCCCTGGCTGACAGACACTTCAACTGCCACCTGAGGAGCCCCTGAGCTGGGGTACTCAACCATATTCCTGTCCCCCAGACAATGGGAGATGCTGAATGTGTGCTGTTTCAAGCTGCGGAGCTTTGGGGAAATTCGTTATGCTGTCGATAACTAACACAAGAGACACGGCTGTCACAGAAAGCTGGCTCAAGGTCTGCGGGACTGAGAACCGCCGCTCTGTGTGAACGTGGCCTTGTCAGACGTAATGTGTCCCAGTGCCGCCACGCTAAAGTTTCCCTGGCATTGAAACCACTCCCCCATGGGTGATGTGAGCCCCGGCAGTAGTCTGCGTCACGCACATCACTGCCGTGTCGCTGTCATGTGTCCTGATGTCCCCCGGCCCTGGGGGCCCCCAGGGTAGCAGGATTGCCTGCCCCCCCACTGGCGGGCCCCAGGCAGCCCTGTTTTGGCCCCTCCGGCTTTTCTTTCTCTCACAGGTTCTTCCCTTGACCCCAGCTGCCACCTCTGACTGCTCTGCGATGCCTCCCTTTTCCCGCCCCACAGTGTGCCTGAAGCTCGGCTTCTAGAGCTGAGTCCCCAAGAGTCCCCTCAGTCCCAGTGGGGGTGTGAAGGGCCCCTGAGGAGCAAAATGGTTGAGCATTAAGAGCACAGACCAGGTCACAGGGTCACAGACGCCTTGGTGTTTTCCAGGGCTTTTTACTTTGAAGACAGTTCCTGAGGCTGCTCCATAACCAAGGTATCGGGGACAAGACATTTGGGGGTACAGTGCTGGGGGGACCAGTCAATGCACTGCCGTGAGTGGTCAGCACATCCCACTGCTGGGGGAGTAGGGGCAGAGTCTCTGGTTCTGATGGGGGCAGAGAGGGGCAGGGTCCTGGGCGTTGGCGGGGTCCTGGATACCTTGACACTGGGGCAGGACGACTAACTCACCACAATAAGCATGATGACAGACAGCGTGTAGTACACAGAGTCCCGGCACACGGCCCACCACGTCAGCCGCACCACCTGCCAAGCACAGGGCTGTCAGCTACCATCGCTGGGAAACGACACAGAGGGCAGAGGAGGGGGAGACACCCTCACACTGCCCAGACTCCACAGGTGCACAGGTGCAGGAAGGCACCCAGGAAGTTTTCCTGAAAGCCAACTCGCTGCCCCTAACTCTCCGTTATGATTGGAGAACAGAATAAAATGTAGCAAGGCTCTTACATGAGGGCAAAACTACCCCCATTCCTCCCAGTACTAAAATCACTCATTTCACCAAAGAAGCTCTCTGTGGAGGCAGAGAACAGAGGCACCTGCTTGCTTCACCTGATGCTGGTACCTTCTGGAAATGACTGGCCACCCACCTCTACTCCGTCAGCCAGGCAGGGCCTTCCCATGAGGTCCAGTCTAATATACTCCATGGTTCTGAAAACCAGGAAGGTGCCCTTCTTGCTGGGAGGCCAGAGCCAGGCCCCGCAGAGTTCCAGGCTCTTGAGCAGGATCAGGGTTCCAGGAGGCAGAACCAAATATCATTAACTATTCACTGCTGTGAATGAACTCTATCCTGGGACTGGCCATGAGGGCGGGTGCTGTTCTTGCCTCTCAGACCCACAGCATGTTGAATCGGAAGGAAACTCAGACAGGGCAATGGACTGAGAGGGGAAAGGTGACTTGCTGACAGCCACAGTGGGTGCCCCTACCGCCGGCCCAGCCTCTCTACCCAGACGCATCCACTCCTACAACTGAAGGGGGCTCGTCAGACAGGCTGAGGAGAAGAACCTCTTACCTGTCCAGCAAACAGTCCACAGACTCCAATTATACACAGGATGTTGAACACAGCGGAGCCCACGATGGTCCCCACACCGACATCCCCATGAGTGATGAACACACCTGGAAGGAGAAAGATAAATCCTGGCCCTCGGCCACCTGGCCCTAGGCTTGCTCCTTCCTCTCAGGCCCAGGCTGGCTGTGAGGACTGTGTAGGGTGGGGGTTCTTTGCTAGAACAACAAAAACAGAGAGGCGGAAGTGCCCTCTGGGGACCATTTTTTACAAAGCTGCTTTACTGAGGTATAACTTGCAGGCCATAACACTTGCCCATTTAAAGCACCACTTCAGTGGTGTTTTAATGTATTTGTAGATGATCCAACCATCAGCATAATCAGACTTTAGAATATGCTTGTCATCCCCAAAATAAACCTGTTAGAGTCCTCTCCATTCTCTTCCATCCCAATCCCCAGGCAACTACTAATCCACTTCCTGTCTTTCCCAGTTCTGCCATTTTACAGACGAGAAAACTGAGCTTCAGAGCTGGCAAATGTCCCCCACTGCCCTGGGCACCACGCCTAGGCTCGCTCTAGACCCTGTGTCTCAGCGTGGTGGGGATCCCTTACCAATAACCGAGGCAAACAGCTCTGGTGTAGAGCTTCCTGCAGCCATGAAGGTGGCCCCAGCCACATCTTCACTCAGATGGAGTCTCTGAAACAGAAGTGACCACAGGCCCTCAGGGCAGTGGACATACTCACTGGACACTCGGCAGCCCGGGTAGTTGTGGGGACGCACTGCTATAGGTGAAGCCAAGCTCCTTAGGGGCCTCCCTGGGCAGGCTGTCCCCTGCAGGTCCTGAGCAGGGGCTCTCCAGCCACTCTGTTGGATGCCCCACTCCCTCCACCAGACCTGCTCTCCTGGCCTCCTGCTCTGCTCCTGCCAGACCTTCAGCTTGGAAGCTCCTTTATTTCCAATATCAGTCCACCTTCTATTTATTCTCTGAGCTGCTGACTCAATGCCTCCTTGGTGAAGCCTTTCCTAAGGTGTCCCGCAGAGCTAGGTGCTCCCCCTTGAACATGTTCTGTGTCTTATGCTCCATCTACTGGAACAAGAATTACACGGAGTGAGGGTTTTGGTCCACACATTGGCCTTCCCCCTGGACAATGAACCCCTGAGGGTAGGGGTGGGTCTTTCATCTTTGGATCCCCAGTGACTAGAACAGGGTCTGGCACACATGGGAGGTGTGGAAACAAAACCTTGATGAGGAGCCAAAGCAGAGGAAAGAGGAAAGACTGGGGTCTAGCATATGGGGAGAAATAAGAAACTAAAAATAACAAAATAACGGAAGGGAGAACATGTCCACTTGCAATGGTCTGAACAGAGAGCAGGACCTGTTGCTGCTGAAAGTCAGTATCCTCTTCAGGTGAGTCCTCTAGTAAGCTGGGGCCCCACCTGTTACCTGCCACCTACAGCTGGTTACAGCCTGGCTGGGCTCCCAACTAATTGGGCTTGACATGAGTTGGGGCCTACCGTGAATCCAGACGTTCTGAGTAATGATTTTGTGCTGAAGCATTTTCTTCTGCCAAGCCCTAGGAGGGGCTGCCGTGTGCCAACCCCACCCTGGGGGCTTCAGAGCAAGGCTTCGTGTGGGGCAGACCCTAAGTGCGTGGTGTGAAGGTTCTACACCAGGCGCCCTCACTCCACCCCCAGCCTTCTCAGCCTGCTGCATGTGCATGTACATCCCACATGCCCTCAATTTCTTCACACCCCCAAAGAGCATCCCCGAGGGGTCCCAAGTCCCTCCCACATACCTCACAGATCTTCTCTAAAGATGGAACAAAGAAGTCATCGCATACAATGGCCAAGGCGTAGAACATGTACAGAGCCTGTGTGAAGACAAGGGGAGGGAGTGTGGGGGTGAGAGGACAGTCATCACACATGACGGCCAAGGCATAGAGCATGCACAGAGCCTATGTGAAGACAGGAGGAGGGGGTGTGGGGGGTGAGGGGACACCTCACATATGACATCACATATGAGGACCAAAGCATAGACAGAGCCTGTGTGAAGACAGGAGGAGGGCGTGTGGGGGGTGAGAGGACAGCCATCACACATGACAGCCAAGGCATAGAGCATGCACAGAGCCTGTGTGAAGACAGGAGGAAGGGGCTTGGGGGGTGAGGGGGCAGCCATCACACATGACGGCCAAGGCATAGAGCATGCACAGAGCCTATTGGAGGACAGGAGGAGGGGGTGTGGGGGTGAGGGGACAGTCATCACACATGATGGCCAAGGCATAGAGCA